GACGGCCCGTCCACTCAGAGGGAAGTAGTGGAGAGTAAAATGCCTGTCAGTGCAGGGACCACGTGTATCCAATGTCCCAGCATCCCGGATGACGTCACCACAATGTAGAGAGATGGGGGGGGGGGGGGGGAACTCTCGCTGGAGCCACAGCTTTAAACGGAAGAGGCCGTTTGCCGGGACAACATGTTTCGCGCGCATGCGCTTTATCAAGTCTGTGAAAAGTCCAGCAATCGGCCATTTTTATAGGAGACCTGCACAGAAGAAGGGGCCGGCTTAACAACCAGGGGGATAATCAAGGAGATAATCAGGAGCGGACGGCTCGTCTCACAACAGGATCGGATTGCAATTGAAATATAAAAAATATTCTAAGGACAATTATTAAAAGGCACACCTCCATATAAAGGTGTATTACTTTTATCACAAAACTACACAGCGCCCGGCTCCTGTTCATACTATAATATCAATGGCAGGCAAAATAGATCCCATTTATCCCATTCATCTGTGTATTTAGCTGATTGCCTGGAGTTCAGCCCTAACCTCCGGTTCACATATGCGGCCGTGCGGGCCGCGTTTTGCGCAGGCACGAGAGCCCATTTATTTGAATGGACTCCCATGCCCCGTGACACACAGGGAAGATGTCCCTGCACTTCTTCGGTTCCCAGTACGGTTGCGTTTTCCAGTGCGGGCAGCATGCCATTACAACTAATGGCACCTGCCCGCGGGGTCCGCATTCCTCTGTGCGGGTGGTGCTGCTGCACAGATTTTCGTGAGGATCCATAGCCGCACCACCCGCACATATGTGAACCTAGCCTAATTGTATTTTTCAAAGCAAATGGTATTAAAAGAGAAGTATAAGAATATACCGTATTTATTCGAGTATAACGCGCACACGTGTATAATGCGCACCCCTAATTTTCGATTAAAAATCGGTATAAAATTTTGTTTCACTTTTCCTCGGCTCAGACCAAGCATTGTAATTAACAAACGTTGTTGAACACGTGCGGCCATGATAAAAATCATTTATTGACAAGGTAAACACAATACCGACATAAAATTACCGGTAACAATATTTATTTAAAATGCTTCAAAGTCAGATTCATCATCATCAGATACACTAAAGAGTTGTTCCCATTCTTCTAGAGTTAATTTATCATCAGTGTCCCAGTTGGCAGGAACATCTGTTTCTCCAGCTTCTTCGCTTTCTTCTGAGTCTGAATTCCACAGCAGGTCGTCTTCTGTGCCGTCCATTTTATTGCTGATGCCTGTCTTTAAAAAACTCTTGATGATCATTTCTTTTGGTATGTCTTCCCATGATGTTTTAATCCAAGATGTCACGAGAGATAGGCCAGGTTTCTTGAGGTTTCCTTTTGCAGTCAATTCTTTGTCTTCGGATTTCATCCAGGTAATCCACTTTTCCCTGACTCTGTCTTTGAAGGGTTTGTTTAAAACAACATCGAGTGGCTGAAGAATAGAGGTTAGTCCACCTGGAATCACAGCTTGAAATGTCTTTAGACTTTTCAGTTTGTCTTTCACAGTGTCTGTCAGGTGTGAGCGGAACTGGTCCCATACAAGCATGGATTTCTTCAGTAGTGCGCCTGGTCTAGTATTCCAAACTTTATTTAACCATAACATGATGCCCTTCTCATCCATCCATCCTTTAGGATGACAATGGATCACGACACCTGGTGGAAATTTAACTCCTTTTGGAATAGTCTTTCTTTTAAAAATCACCATTGGTTTAAGTTTAAAACCGTCTGCCATACAGGATAACGCAACCGTAAAATGAGTTTTCTCATGGCCTGTGGTTTTAATCTGGACTGTGTGCTTCCCTTTGCTGTCAATTGTCCTGTTGCCTGGTAGGTCAAAACACATGGGGGTCTCATCCATATTGCCTATCTGTGAAAGTTCAAAATTAATCTGCTTGCGTTGGTTGATTATAAAGGTATGGAATGAAGTGATCTTCTCTGCTAAATCACTTGGCAGCTTCTGCGCTATCTTTGTTTTCTGGCGTATTACAAGTCCATGCCTTTTCATAAACTTTTGTGTCCATCCATTAGAGGCTTTGAAGGTTGAATCTTTGCAAAACTTTTGGGCTTGAAGTCTAATGTGGAGTGATGTGACAATGTACCCACTACTTCTTTTGGTCAATGATCCATTCATAAAGTTCCTTCTCCATGTCTGGGTACATGGCTTGTCTCCCTCGTTGTGCTTTTTTGGTTTTATTCATATCTTTCAGGACGACTTTTTGTTTTCTCCATTCTCTAACATTCGTCTCTGGTACAGTGAATTCTCGGCTAGCTGCTCGATTTCCGTGAATTTCAGCATGACCAACAACTTTGAGCTTGAATGAAGCGTCATATGCAGAACGTTTTCTCTTGATTCCCTGAGTTGCCATCTAACGGGTACCAGTATATCAATAAATAATATGAAGAACACTACACTGAATATGATTATAAAATGAAGAACACAGCAAAACAGCAATGCTTACCGTAACGTGTGGGCGAGGAAAGGAAATGAAGAAGCGACCATACGAAATGAAGAGGCACAGGGGACGTTTTTTCTTCTTCTTTCTTTCTACAGTGAGCGCATGTGCCCTCAATGGACCGGCCGCCACTGCGTCACCCCACCAGTGCATCTCGCCAGTTCGGGCCGCCCACTGTACGCGACAAGGGGACGTAGAAAAAAAAAAACGATCCCCTGTTTTCGCCGCCCCTTAAAGGGGCGGGGCCGGCACAGGGGACTTTTTTTTTTTCTTCGCGTACAGTGAGCGCCTGCGCCCTCAATGGATCGGCCGCCACACACCAACCCTCGTTTATAACGCGCACCCCAAACTTTGATTTCTTTTTTTGGTTTAAAATTTTGCGCGTTATACTCGAATAAATACGGTATATATATTTTTTTTTAAATCACACTTACCTAGGTGGATGCAGCATCGGTCCAATGCTGCAGCTGTCCCCACCGGCTCTAAGGGTGAGAACTCAGCGATCACATGAACGCTGATTGCAGAGTTCTCACAGCTGCTCTGAGCAGACAGCGATGACTGTCTGCTCTGCACCCCCAGCGCTCACTGGAGCGCTGGGCTGTGGAGGAGGAGGAGGGAGCCAGGTGCTGCTCCCATACATTAAAGTCGGGATCTTTCCCCAGTCTGGACTGGCTGAGTGACGTTAGCCGACAGCGGGCTTCAACCTGCTGTCAGCTGAAAACAGGTCACAGGAATGCAGAACGAACGGTGACCCACTGGGACTTTGGCTGTACTTCTCCTTTAAGTACCTATATTTGACTTGGTATCATTCCCCTGTACACAGAGCCTAGACTGGGAGAGAGGCAAGCAGTAAAATGAGACTGTGGGGGGTGGGGGCGCTACTAAAACTGGTGCACTCAAAATCTCCTATACTAACATTTCGCAATATAGGTTATTGCTTTGATTTACATGGTGGTAGATGCACTTTAGTTTATACTAGGCCCCCTCCATATTAAAGGACTGACTGGAATACCCCATTTACTATGCTTATTTTAGGCAACCTAAGCTCATCTGTTTCTCAATTCATCTGCCATGTCATCCATACCTCACTGCTGCCCCCTAATTTGGAGATATCATGCATAATATGTCACTTGTGCCACATCCAACGGCCAGTTCTATTTTGACCTGCAGATAGGCTTTTTTTTCTTAGCTCTCTAAATAAAGTAGCTGTGCTGAAGACCAAAACAATCCAAGGAAAGGTCTGTATATACCAAAAACAATTCCAGAGTATGTGGTCAGCAAACTGGGTTACAAAAAGATTCTATGGAAAATTTCCTATGTAAGAAAGTAAAACTGCTCTGTAACACTTGTCTTATTCTAATGTACAAGGAGTTGGAAGAATGATCTACGTTTAATTATTGCATGAATTAAATGTCAAGTGATAACTCACAGACCTGACAGATAAAAAAAACTCTCAAGTAAAGATGTAATGCTCAGTTGTTTCTACGCTCTTCATTTCAGTTTAAAGCACCACGATCAAAAAAATCTGAATCATTATTTGGATAACTGAATGTGGTGAACACCCATAATTATAGTATTTGGTATAAATAATTCTATATTTCAAATTTCAGGTGCCTTGATTCTTATTTGGGGGGGATTCAAACCTTATAAATAAAAAAGGTAACTGTTGTAAGTAGCCATGTCACCATGATAGTTTGTACCAAACCCCCAAAACCCTGTCAGATCTGCAAAACAGTCTGGGCTGCATGAGATGAACGAACACACATTACTTTGTATACTGCATACAATTTATAATACCTGTCATGGTAGTTGTCCTTCAAAATATTTTTCCATTTTGGATACAGCAGGAAAACTTTTTTTTTCTATTAAAAACTGTGTCCCATTGAGAAGATTTCTCTCCACTTCCTGTCCAGCAAACACAATGGGTGAGAGGAACTCTCTCTACAGTGAGAATTTCCCTTCCCTGGTCTCTAGAGCAAATTGGGTACATCTCTCTAGACAGGAAGCAGGTATCACTAAAAACCTGACAAAGGTTCTAACCCCTCACCATTTTGTCAAGAAAAGTTACATTTTAGCTATACTTTAAAGTGGAATACTGGGCTAAAGTTAACCAATCTTAAAAAAGGTCCCACCACCTTCAAAAACCATTACGAACTACTGTGTGGAAGAAAGATCTGTACACTTACCTATTTTCAGGCTACTCCATGTGTCATCCAGCAGCAGCTTCAGGGGAGAGCTGACAATGGATGGCCCATAGTAAGCCTATGGTTGACGTCACCACTCATGCTTTCCAGCCCTTGTCAAGCATTCTCTCCCAGCACTGGCCGTCACAGGGGAGAATGCGTGATTGGACCGGAGTGGACTGAAAATAGGTACGTTTGCAGATCTTTCTTCTACAGGGTGGTTAGTATAGGTGTTAGAAGGGGAAGGGAGCCATTTTTAGATTAGTTATCTTTGGTCCATTCCACTTTAAACAAGACAGTTTTTACAGGTGTCACTTAACAGTTTGCATACATACTGGTCATGTCTTGTATCAGGAACATTTCTGTCCATGTGCAGTTTGTCACTTTCCACTTGATTAAATTTGTTGCGTGCATAAGCATCCTGACCAGGTCTCACTACAGTTACACCAACATAAGCATCTTGGTCAAAGTCCTGCCACCGTACCTTACCTAAGGTGGAAAAAGAAAAGAGGGAAAAAAAAAAAAAATACGTTCAAATCATCTGGTTTAATAAAACAAATTAAAGACAGTAGTATGGGTAGTGCAAATAATTCCAACACTTTACTGGTCCTTAAGGATAGCTGGTGATGGATTACAATGCATAGTTCATGCTTTCACAGTTAAAGCCCAATTAAATATTCAGTTGAAATCCACTAAATACATTCCAGCTGCATTAAAACAGAAAGGTGTTCAATGTCTTATAGTGAAGTTTTTTTCTAAAAGCAGCCATCTCTTATGTAGAAAAGCCTGTCTAATGTCAGCATGCCGCAAAATGGGACCAATGCTCTCTGTTGGGAAGCAGAAATTCGTCTGCAAAGGTTCAACATGCCCCCTGCTGAGTCAGAGTATCTATCAGCAGGGAGTATGAGCTTTTCCGATTGCAGAGGTATAGGTTTGACAAAGCAAGGGATGCATCTGACCTGTTCAGGGAGACCACTGCTTCATCACAGATTGCTGGAAAGGGACAGGCTTCTGTACTTAAGCTGTAACTACTTTAGATAGGAAATGAGCTGTAAGACATATCTATAGCGGAGATACACACTAAATGGCAGCTCCTAATCATCTCTTTCAATAAGTCTGGTCTTGTAATATGAATCTAATGTTTTACCATATATAAAACACTACATTTATATATCTTTACAGCACCAATGTCACTGTATATATTGAAAGAAAATGCCACATCCTTGTGTATGTGGCTTGGTAAGAGTCTGTGTCAACAGGCTATTCATTTCAAGTAGGTTTGCATCCCCATACAAGTCTGAACTAATGATCTCAGAAGCATCTCAAACTGATGTCATTGTTACCAGCCCTAAAATGTCTATAAATTTATTCTAAAACTGTAATAAAAAAAAAAATAATAATAATAATAATACACCTTACAACCACATCTGATTTTTTAACATTTTACGTAAAGATATGTTCTTCTCATATCAATTTTGTGTCCAGTTCACTCAAAACAGCTTTTGGCAGGAATTCTGAGCGATTCACTCAACAAAAGTTACCCCTGCCTACTACCTGGTTTCTGTCTATCTTTTTACACCAAAAAAAAAAAGTCAGCAATGACAGCTCCCATATTTCTATTTTAACTGATTTCTAGAGTAACAAACAAAAAATCTTGTCAGCCAAAAGCCACCATCATAAATCCTAAACTTTAGATATTCTTTAGGACCTAAAGAATATCAAAAAGTCTATCTAATTAAAGTATATAGTTCCTTAGTAGGAAGCCAGCTTCAAAAAAAAAAAAAAAACAAAAAAAAAAAAAAAACCACAATGTATACCAATATTTGATTTCATATAGCGGTCAATCTCATCCCTGTATCACAATCAGTGATTAGAGTTTTAAAATGGACACTTAAATTTAAAGCCATGAGTATACCTAGAATCCAAAATAAACATCCAATATGCTTCTCATCAGAAGATATGTAAAAACAATTCACACATTATATGCCATTTTAATTATTTTTTCTATTACTCGTAAGCCCAAATAACTCACATCAGAGGCATAAGCATCAACAAATAGCCATATATTTTTTTTTTTATTGTTTCAATGTCATATTAACGATCCCTCAGCTTATCACCATCCCTCTTCTTTGTACTCCCATAATAATGAACCTGGCAGACAAAACAATTTAAAAGATATATGACATACCTTAGAACGGCAATTCCAAAACTATATGATCAGTTTAGTTTTGTACAAAACTGATGAGAAAATTTAACATGGCAAACAAAGAAAAAAAAAACACAATGCTAGGTGAAACTTGTTGTTTGAGGTTAGATTCACTACATGCTACAAAAGAAAAAAAAAAAAAAAAAGAAAACATTTATATAGGGAATGGATAAAACCCCTGTAAGGTTTTTGTTTTGTCATCTGTATCCAATTAAGCAGATCACCAATTCCTTTCTGTCCAATAGACCTAAAAAGTAAAAGAGTAATCCGCCATTTTTTTCCAACTATTACCGAAAAAAAAAAACTCCCAAAATACCGAAAAAACGGCCGCGCCCAAATCGCCCACTAACGATCCGAAAAATCGCCGATTTTTATTTTCGCGAAAAATGCCTCGATTTTCGACCCATCTCTCCATGGATTTTTCGCTCTCCTATTCGCCAACCATCTGCACAAGCTCCTCCTACCCTTGGAAACAGTGGGGATGATTTACTATATCAACAGATTGTTCATTTGCAAAAGAGAAGGTTTACTGTGATCAGTAAAAAAAAAAAAAAAAAAAAAAGATGAAGCAGTGTTCCCAAACAACCAATTGTGCAAGCAAAAATCACGTTTATTTTCTTTTTTTTTTTTTTCTAACAAAATGATTTATAGTGAACACAGCTTCCCCCTATTTGCAATTGTTCAATTTTCAAATGAAGAACTTGAGCAGTTACTAAGCAATAAATAAAGATGTTTATTATTACGATTATTTTAGTTGGTTAAGGCAGCACAAGTAAAAATAAGACTCCAAAACAGAACCAGTGTGTGGTCAGCAGAGGTACCCATTCAATAAAAAGGTGCTTCTAAAACAGACTCTTCAGGAAGGTCGGTATTTACTGATCATAAAAACAGGTTAAAACCATCAATGCTTTTCAAGGCTCCTTAGTGGCCACTTTGCTAGGAAAAGTGCACAATACATTTTAATAGGTGGGATCTGGGTGCATTGCTTCAGCCCAGAGTATAGTCTGTACCCACTAAAGTGTATAGTACACCTTTTACTGACAAATGTCCACTAAAGAGAAACAAAAACGCATTGATGGTGGTTTAACTTGTTGTTATGATCAATACTGACCTTCCTGAAGAATCTACTTGGAAGCATCTTTTTATTGAATGGGCACCTCTGCTGACCACCATACACTGGTTCCATTTTGGGGCCTAATCCTTTTTACCATTGTTCACTAGATCTGATTGCAACCTAGTGTGGTGCAAGCATTTCCAGAAAAAATCCAGACAAGCATCAAGTACAACTGACCACACTCTGCGTGGTCAGTCATATTTTTCACACGTACTAAACTAGGTTGCTTGACCCTAGAACGGGTATCCAGCAACCTCATGAATGCAAGTATACACTCTACATGTTTTGCCATACTTTTCCCCATACGTACAACTGAATAATACCCGCAGAAGGCTCTCTGTTGTGGCTTTTTATCTCTCTTTTTCTCCTGGTTTCTGCTCATCTGGAGCACCACTGACTCTTCTAGAGTAACACAAAAGTTCAATTTAAAACTAGACATGAGTAAGTAGCTGCCTCTCATTCACCTGGGATTTATCACAACCTTTAAAAATGCTGCCAGATCTCTAGACAGCCCTGAATGTAACTGCTAGTTTCTTGAAGAGTACGACCAAAAGGAAACAAAATTTTAAAAAAAGACACAAGTACCACTAAACCAGAGTGAATAAAAATCTATTTTTTTTTTTTTTTTTTTTTTTATGTTAAAAGAAAAAAAAAAAAAAACAGATTTTTTTTTTTTTAATTAGAATCTGATTTTTTTCTCATTTAAACTGGATTTTTTTTTCCATTTTTATCAAATTTATTTTAATAAAATGCTTTTGGAGTAAAAAAAAAAAAAAAAAAAAAAAAAAAACAACTATCTAAAAGATAGTTTTCTATTTAAGATACATTAATAATTTAGTTTATTCAGCTTGAAATGGAGCTTAGTTATGTAGCATGAGGCTGTATATTCTGCAATATTTACATTTTTGGTAAACTCATTCAATGAATCCAAGCTCTGCAAGCTGAGATGACATGCACTGCATTGATGCTTTCACAATTTCACAGTAACCATGAGAAAAAACATGACCTAAAAGAATTTGAGTAGTTCTCCACTTAAGTGTGATTAACCTATTAACCTAAAATTGGATCTGATATCACTCTTTTACTAACCTGACAGCTTATTATTCTAAAAAAGAAAACCTTAATTTGGTTTGTAAATATTAAAGATTCGAACTACCAGCAAGAATGAGTCGGAGTCCTTACATTTAAAGAGCACCTGTCATTTTAGAGCCTTCGTGGCAGCGCCTGTTAGCGGGCATCCACTCACCTGCTGCTGCTACGTCTCTCACCTTGTTGTGTCACTACTGCATCACCAGCCATCCCATTAAAGTGAATGGGACGATCGGTGAGTTGACAACGGGTCAGAGGAGGAGCCGCTGCGGGACAGAGATGACATTTGCTCTTTAACTGGTTCCCGTCTGGCCTATGGCCGAATGGTGGCTGGCAAAAACCCTCGTCCCTCCGCGTGGACGCCATATGGTGTCCTTTCAGGCATGTGCAGTTTGCATGCCAGCAGAGCCATGCTGCGGCGCGATCTGTCACCGGCTGTGTACCTCGGACACGGCCGATGACAGCTCTGTGTACTGGCCCCGTTGCCAGTACCATGTGACCTGCTCTGACCAATCACAGCAGGTGACATGACAGTTGTATACAACGGATGGCTTCCTATCATGCCATCCATTGTATACAAGTGTGGTCACAGCGATCACATGCACAAGCTGGGCCAATCACAGCCCAGCTCTGTCATGTGGTTAGCTGTGGCCAAATCACAGTTAAGAAAAAAAAAAATCCTGAATGAATCAATTTCATTCAGGTAAATGCTTGCTTATAGCAAAGTAATTCTTTGCTATAAAGCAAATTGTGTAAAAAAAAAAAAAAAAATATAGATCACTTCCCCAAAGTAGTACAATGTTACTATGGTAACATTATACTACTTTGGTCATAGTGAAATATGAAAAAAAAAAAAAATCTTAAAAAAAGAAAAAAAAGTAAAAAAAAAAAAAAAACTAAAAAATTTTTTTTCTGTACTGTCACCAGTCAGTGTCCCTGATCACCGCCATGCCAGTTATATGATGACGCTGTACTGCACTGGTGACAGTATGTAAAAAAAAAAAAAAAAAAAAAAAAAAAAAAAAAAAAAAAAATTGCGAAAATCATTTTTTTTATTTCTTCATTTCCAAAAAATGACAAA